TCGAGTTTTTAATCCTGAACCCGAAACCCTAAACCCTAAACTACTAAGCCCTGTAGGCCCTTGAAAAGGAACCCTTCAAAGAACACTGTCAGGAACTCTAAACCTGCAATTGCCCCAAATCCCCAGGCAGCCAAGGGGCGGAGTCCGGGTCGGATGCAACTCTGTGCTGATCAGGCTGCCTGGAGCAGTGATGTCTTGGCTCATTGTGTCTAGGGTTTAGTTTAGGGTTTAGGAATCAGGGTGAGTAATAACGGTGTTTGTGTTTAGGGGTGAGGGTTCATGGGTATTTAGGAGTTTCCTATAGGGTTTTCTTAGGGTTTGTGCCTTAAAAGGGTTCCTGTAAGGGATGAATCTAAAAAGGGTTGTATGATACAGAATTCAGAAATGGGTTTCAATCGCAGGATGAGAAGGAAGCAGGGGAGAAGTAACATGCATAGCTAGTTTGGTAGCCCTCATAGCAGGTTTAGGTTTAGGATCTACGCCTGAAACGCTGCTTGGTGACCTGTGAGACAGAGATTCCACAGCATGCAGCAAAGGGCTCGTCTCCCTGGCCGACTTAGTCTAAGCTACAGTAGCCTTTCTGCTTAACCCTCCTTGTTCCATGGCCTCATGGCCCTCATGCGGCTGATTCTTTCGGTGCTAAGGCTAAGCTCTTGCTTCTTTTCTGAGGGCCGCAGGCTTCAGCCTGAGTCCTCGGCTGCAGGGACTGCATAGGAGCTCTGCCTGAGCCTCACTCGAGCCCTAGGCTCCAGGCCCTAGGCTAGCTAACCTAGGCCCTAGGGCCCTAGGGCCCTAGCTGTAGGCCCTAGGACTAGAGCCTAGCTAACCCAGGCCCTCGGCCGGCCTGACTGAAGCTGAAGGCCGCTCGACTGTAGAACTCTAGACTCTAGACTCTTGGCCCTACATGCTTCTGTCTCACAGGAAGCAGCCTTTTCTGGGGCCCTGTGCAGAGTCCCCAGGGGCCCAGCCGGCCTCTGAGGCCTTTGCTGCTCTACGCACCAGGCTTTTTCTGGTGGTCTACGCGTTCTGTCTCTGCTTTTTGTGTGCCGGTGCCCTACGCGCTCATTCCGAAATGTGCTACGCGTCCCTTGTGCTACGCGTCAATTGTGCTACGCGCACTTTTGGCGTAATTCTTCACTTGGGCAAGCAAATCGGCGTAAAAGCCTGCTTGGGCCACGCGCCTGACTGGCGTAATTCTTGCCTGGTGCCAGTGAATCCGCGTAAAACCACTCTCGGGCCACGCGCCTGAATGGCGTAATTCTTCCTCGGGCCAGGTGCATCGGCGTAAAACATCTCGTGTGCCACGCAGCCTAGGGCCCGGAGTGAAATTACTCGGCCGGCGTAACGGCCTAAGCAAAACTAGGGCCAAAACCTGGCGTAAAACCCCTAAGCAAAACTAGGGCCAAAACCAGGCGTAAAAACACCTAAGCAAAACTAGGGCCAAAACCTGGCGTAAAAAAACGCCCTGAGCAGAAATAGTGGGAGCTTTTTCAGGTGTGCACCTCCCTAAGGGAAAAGGGCACCCAAATCTGGTGTAAAACTCCTCTCTGTCCAGGGTCCGTAGAGTACAAATGGCATCTGTGGCAAAGCTCAACCCAAGGTCTGAAGGCCTCTGACTCCAAGGACTCTACGGCCACGGACTTATAGCATAAGCATGCTGCTTAAGGCTTACGGTTCAAGGCTTAAGGCTTTAAGCGCTCTAGGCTGTAACTGTTTTTGTTCCTGGCATGCAAAGCATGCAGGAGCAGGTGTGTGAGCCAATGACCCTAACGCCCAGGGCTTGCAGCTTCTCCTGCTATGCTCCCAGAATAATCCGGCAGCCCGAAACCTTAAGCCTTAAGCCTTAAGACGGAGTCTTAATTGATCATTAGCCGATGAAGCCGTAGCCATAGGGCCTTAAGCCTTAAGCCTTCAGCCCTGGAGTCCTTGCAGCAAAACTCATTAGCTAGCAGCTAGCCCTTAGGGCCTTAGGGCTTAAAACTTAGGGCTTAGGGCCTCCCTTAGGGCCTTAGGGTGCATTCCTGCAAGCCACGTGGGTACCCGCACAAAGCCCCCCCCCGCACAAGGCCCGCGCGGGTACCCGCACAAGGCCCGTGCGGGTACCCGCAAAGGGCCGGTATGTCTGTGGGTAATACTGAACTACCGAAGTCTTAAGCCTTAAGCCAAAAGCTTTCTGCAAAAACCTCAATGGAATTTACTTAGACTTAGTCAATTCAAGAACACGCCAAGAAGCCACGCGGGTACCCGCACAAGGCCCGCGCGGGTACCCGCACAAGGCCCGCGCGGGTACCCGCACAAGGCCCGCGCGGGTACCCGCAAGGGCCGGTATGTCTGTGGGTAATACTGAACTACCTAAGTCTTAAGCCTTAAGCCTTAAGCTTTCTGCAAAAACCTCAATGGAATTTACTTAGACTTAGTCAATTCAAGAACACGCCAAGAAGCCACGCGGGTACCCGCACAAGGCCCGCGCGGGTACCCGCACAAGGCCCGCGCGGGTACCCGCACAAGGCCCGCGCGGGTAGGCCCCGCGGGTAAAAGGCCCGCGCGGGTACCCGCACAAGGCCCGCGCGGGTACCCGCACAAGGCCCGCGCGGGTACCCGCAAAGGGCCGGTATGTCTGTGGGTAATACTGAACTACCTAAGTCTTAAGCCTTAAGCCTTAAGCCTTAAGCTTTCTGCAAAAACCTCAATGGAATTTACTTAGACTTAGTCAATTCAAGAACACGCCAAGAAGCCACGCGGGTACCCGCACAAGGCCCGCGCGGGTACCCGCACAAGGCCCGCGCGGGTACCCGCACAAGGCCCGCGCGGGTACCCGCAAAAGGCCCGCGCGGGTACCCGCACAAGGCCCGCGCGGGTACCCGCACAAGGCCCGCGCGGGTACCCGCACAAGGCCCGCGCGGGTACCCGCAAAGGGCCGGTATGTCTGTGGGTAATACTGAACTACCTAAGTCTTAAGCCTTAAGCCTTAAGCTTTCTGCAAAAACCTCAATGGAATTTACTTAGACTTAGTCAATTCAAGAACACGCCAAGAAGCCACGCGGGTACCCGCACAAGGCCCGCGCGGGTACCCGCACAAGGCCCGCGCGGGTACCCGCACAAGGCCCGCGCGGGTACCCGCAAAAGGCCCGCGCGGGTACCCGCACAAGGCCCGCGCGGGTACCCGCACAAGGCCCGCGCGGGTACCCGCACAAGGCCCGCGCGGGTACCCGCAAAGGGCCGGTATGTCTGTGGGTAATACTGAACTACCTAAGTCTTAAGCCTTAAGCCTTAAGCTTTCTGCAAAAACCTCAATGGAATTTACTTAGACTTAGTCAATTCAAGAACACGCCAAGAAGCCACGTGGGTACCCGCACAAGGCCCGCGCGGGTACCCGCACAAGGCCCGCGCGGGTACCCGCACAAGGCCCGCGCGGGTACCCGCAAAAGGCCCGCGCGGGTACCCGCACAAGGCCCGCGCGGGTACCCGCACAAGGCCCGCGCGGGTACCCGCACGAGGCCCGCGCGGGTACCCGCAAAGGGCCGGTATGTCTGTGGGTAATACTGAACTACCTAGTCTTAAGCCTTAAGCCTTAAGCCTTAAGTTTTTTGCAAAAACCTCAATGGAATTTACTTAGACTTAGTCAATTCAAGAACACGCCAAGAAGCCACGCGGGCGCAGAAGGCCCGCGCGGGTACCCGCACAAGGCCCGCGCGGGTACCCGCACAAGGCCCGCGCGGGTACCCGCACAAGGCCCGCGCGGGTACCCGCACAAGGCCCGTGCGGGTACCCGCAAAGGGCCTGTTTGTGTGTGGGTAATATTGAACTACCTTAAGCCTTAAGCTTTCTGCAAAAACCTCAATGGAATTTACTTAGACTTCGTCAATTCAAGAACACGCCAAGAAGCCACGCGGGTACCCGCACAAGGCCCGCGCGGGTACCCGCACAAGGCCCGCGCGGGTACCCGCACAAGGCCCGCGCGGGTACCCGCACAAGGCCCGCACGGGTACCCGCACAAGGCCCGCGCGGGTACCCGCAAAGGGCCGGTATGTCTGTGGGTAATACTGAACTACCTAAGTCTTAAGCCTTAAGCCTTAAGCTTTCTGCAAAAACCTCAATGGAATTTACTTAGACTTACTTTGGCGCTCTGGGGTTTAGCTAATTGTTTATTGGTTTTAAGATTGCTAGTAAATAGATGTTAGTGGGTTAACAACAAGTTGTATCTTGTTACAACGAGTTATAATGGTCCTAAAAAAATAATCATGTTACATAAGTTATATATTTAGAAATTTAAGTTATGCTAAGTCTGACAAAGCAATAAAAAAGTTAGCTGAGTTAGCTAAAAACTAGTTGTTGAAGATGATGGAAGTGCGAGCTTCGTTTAGAGTAGAGTTTTCTTAATTTGAAGTAGCTTATTCTCTAAAAAACAAGCCACCAAGTTTCGTTTCATAGTCGCAGAAAGCAGAAGCATCAAGGGCTTGAGACGACGAAAGTTGAGGAATGGGGAAGGGGATCGTCAATATGGCAGGGGTCTTTGTTCTATATTTGAGTGTAGGGAATACTTCCCCCTGACTCAAAGCGAGAAAAAGTTTAGGCAACAATGGTTAGCAAGCTGTACCGTAATTCCCATGCAGATGGAAGTTTGCGAGAGGAATATGAAGTGAAGGCTCTGCAAAAGGTTCTTTTAGTCGTTGTCGACCCAAAGTTTACCTTATGTTCGAAAATAGACAGCTTGCAGAGAGCTGCGGCTAGTTTTGAGAAGCTATAGCGGAAAGCTTGCAGAGAGCTGCGGCTGGTTTTGAGAAGCTATAGCAGCTGGAAAGCTTGCACAAAGCTGCGGATAGCTTTCAGAAGCTACCGAACTTACAGAAGCTTCAAGGAGCTGGCTGCCGAACTGCACCGAAAACTGCTGAAACCCGAAAGTGCGCAACCTTACCTCGCACCGAAGGACAAGAGTCTTCCAAAGTTTGACTTGCAAAATCAAGCTGTTGATGTGTCTCCGTTTTTCCAAGCACTGCACGTCATCGAGCTGCAGAGAGAGGTGCTGGAAGCAAGCATGTGACAGAACCATCATTCCCAAAGCTGTAGGTTGCCGGCTGCAAAAGGTCTTCCAGCCGCACCAGCTGCAATCTGTCAGGAAGGCTTCTCCAAACAGTGGCATGAGTGCCAGGCCTTTCCCTCTCGAAGAGGAAGTTAAGCACCACAGCCAACTCCATGCCTGCAACACTGATGCAATGCTTCAAAGAACCACATGCCCAAGGAAAGCCTGCCGTGCTGCTTGTTGATGCATTCCTGTAAAAAAGGATGTCGCCGCTTTTACATAGCATGCCGCTTTCCAAGCGACATGTTGCAGAAGCTTCCATTCCGGGCAAGAACCAGTTGTTCGCCTTCAACAGGGACTCCAAAGGTTTGCCGACGGCAGTCTTGGACACCAAGTGGCTGCTGCTCATAAAAAGCTCCTCGTCCTTCAACAGTTTGCCCACATGCTCCTGAGTCACACCAGTCATGACGGCCTTGTTGTAAGCTTCCAAACCAAACTGGAGGGTGCCATACTTTCTCGGAATTTTATGCTTTCGCTCCAAAGGCCAGCAAGAAGGCAGCTGCTGCCATCGCTGCAGACAATCCGGAAGATGGAGAGGCCAGTGATGTTTGGGCCTCATCATCTCTGAGAAACCTGCCAGGGCGGTGGCTTGCAGGGCCTGTTCGACCAAGTGCAAAAACCGAGGAGGCGAGGGATTCTGCAAACCTTGGATGCTGTGGGCATAGTCCAGCACATCTGCCCAAGCAATAAATGCTCGGCACGTCGCCTCTTGCAGGCCATTGCTCAGGAAGTTGCTCTGCAGGAAGAATTGCAAGGGTTTGCACAAAGTGAGCATCTCAGAGGCCCCAAGCTTGATCGATCCAGCTTTCCTGTACGATGCAACGGCTTTGCTTGTGAACAAAACATCCAGTTTGAAGCTCGCATGTGCATGTGGCAAGTTCCAGAACTCCAGCCACTGCCGCAACATTGCCCAATCCTTCGACAGCAGCCCATTCTCTGTCAAGTCTTCCAACACCAAAAAAGCCATTTCATTCAACACACCATGCGACACCAGGCAATGCATATAGTCATGGCAATACAACGTGCTGGGTCTGCAGATGTTCAGTTCCTGCAATGTCTTGCTGGAGAGCAAAGCATGTGCAGACCAAGTCATCCCCGCCGCCTTCTGTCTTTGTTCGAAGACAGCAGACGGCCCTGAGCTTGCTTCCCTGAGTCGTTCCCAGGAGGCCATGAGCTCGTTGTCCGATGCCACGATGCAATCTGATCTCTTCAAAAACTGGGTCCAAACATTGTTGTTGTTCTCACTGTCTTTGAGCTGAAATATATTGCTGCACAGAGGACATGGCTTACAACCAGTGTCTTGGCGGTTGCTAAATACAGCTTTGTGCGCTGCGCCATCTTGAAGCAACATGTGGAGACGAAAATGCAAACGAAGCTGTCCTGCAGGAGATGACAAAAGCACCCCTGTCTCTGGCACCCGTGTCCCGAACAGGCTTTCCAGGATTAAGCGCATCACCTGTGACATCCCTGCCTTGAGCTCGCCGACTTCTGCACTGCGTTTGATGCAGAGGCAATACCAGAAATCCTCACGGGAAAGGAGCGACTTGTATTGCAGAAATGAGATGTACACACACCAACTCTTCCTCGATGAAGAACTTAATTGATTGCCCGGATGTATTTCATCAGCATATATCACTGCATCCCATGGTGATTCGTAACTGGAAGGATGCCTTTCATGAAAATCCAGCAGCCACATCCCAAACGGCCCTGCTGCATGGAACACTCCGGCCAACAGCGAAAGGAAGTTGACGAAGAGCAACTTTTGCTGTCCTCCTTTCACCGTCTCGGCCTCTGCTGTTAGGAAAAGAGATCCATATTTTTGCATGCTCGAGTTGTGCAGCAGCTCTTCCGTCTCCTGCCAAATGTCTCGCCGAGAATGCTTGTCAGGCAGCCCATGTTCAGCTATGTTCTTGCATATGGCCGCTAAAGCAGTCTGCGAACAAAACGGAACGGATTGTCGCACATCCAGAATCTTACGTTTCTTCGTCGGCTCCTCCATGCAAAGTAGCTTTGCACATCTGATGGGCAAGGCCACTGTCGGATCTATGTGCACTTTACAGCATGAACCTTCCGTTGCAAGCGCTTGTGCCTATGCTCGGGATCTGTGTGTCCGGCTGCTCTGTACATTCTGAAGCTAAGAGAAGAAAACATTGTACTACTTTGCAATTTGGCGACTTGGAAGCCAGCACTCGGTGGCACATGATTGTGATGACAGAAGCTATAGAGTCATGTTTGCTTGCAAACAAAAACCTTCTGCTGCCTGTAGCATCGATAGTCCTACAGCGACGGAGAAGCATACACATGCTTTTGCCCTTTATTCTGGACAATAGAGGCGGTTGCTTCAAACCAAGCAGATATGCTGCCGCTATGGAGCAAACAATGCCAAGAACATATGGCTTTTCATATAGCGGACATCCCTGGTGCCACCTTGCTTCCATGCCTCTAGCTGCTTGGTTCAAAGCCTCTACACAGGCTGGAACTTCCGAGTCTTCCCAGGCTTTTCGCAGCTTTGACAAGCTAAGGACTGGCAGCAAAGCACAAGTAACAAAAATCGTACTTCAAGAATTTTTCCTCTCCTTGCAGATGCCTCCGCCTTGCTTGGCTCGTCACAGTCACCTGATTACCCTGCTACGCACTTGCAGGAAAGATAGGACCATTGCAAGACTGTCCTCGTTAAACCCTCAACCCTAAACCCTAAACCCTTTCAACTGTTTCCTGCAAGTGGAGCAACCCCTGCAGATTCGCGACACCGGCATCCGCGCTTCTGAGCAGCGGATGGCTCGCACCCCTACACCCCTGCGGGCCGCACAGCTTCACTACTTGTAGTTGTGCAAAGAAGCCCTTTGCAACCATTCGCTCCTCGTCAATCGTAGCCCTCCGAAGCTTTCCTCCAAGCAGGTCGGGCATCCAAAGCGGCTCCCTCTGCATCTCAGGCAGCCCATGCCTTCAAAGGCTCCACGATCAGGCCTTGCCAAGGCCTTCGCTGCCGGCCTCTTGAAAACCTTCTGCTTGGAAGATGGCTTGCCCTTGGCCTGAGGCTTTCCAGACTTGAGCGCCTTTGGATCCTCTGTCTTCGCCTTAGGTCCCTTCTTGTCTTTCCCGACCTTGTTCGTAGAAGCTGCCTTCTTCCCGTCCTCCCTGGCCTGCAGCAGGGCGAGGTTTTCAGCTTCGAACTCCTCCAAAGTCTTCTGCTTCTGTCCGGGCAAGGCTGGACTGGACTGCGGCGCTTTTGCTCCAGAAGGGGGGCTCTCGCTCTGCTCCCCGTTCTCCAAGGGCAAGCAACCCTTGCTCTGCTCGCCTGCAGCCTGCACAGGCTCCTGCTTGCTGCTGCTCGCTGCAGTCGGCTTCGTCAGGAACTGCACTGTCGGCTCGGTGTGGTTGACGATGTTGTTGGCAGCCGTCAAGAACTTCATGAGGCCTTGGACGAATTTGGCTTCGCCATCCGGTACCGGCGGTGGCTGCACAGCAACTGCAGGCTGTACGACTTTGGGCTGGGACTCCTGCCAAAAGAAAATCCAGACAGAGGCCTGACTTCAGGATGCTACCTTCATACCCACAGAACAACTGAAAAGGGCTTAGGGTCAGGAGTATAGGGCTTCATGCCTTGGAAGGCTGGTCTGCTGGCTACATCTGATATCTTCTTAAACCCACATGGTCCTGTAGCAACTTGCCATTGGATCTCACGAAGATGTGATGCTGCATCAAGGTGGCCAGCCCGTTCAGGTCCTTCTTGGCTGGAAGTCCATCTGGATAGGCAGCCTGAAGGTGGGAGGCTGGCAACCGCATAGGATCCACAGGGTACCGGGCAAGAGAAGAAGCTCCAGCTGGGATCGCTGTGTTGGATTGCTTGAGCTCTGTCATCAAATGCAGACTCAGATCGTAAGCCACACGAACTGCCGGCACCGGGTTGCCTCGGTGGTGAACATGGTACCAAACCAGGATGGCGGTACATCGCTTCTTCAAGGATTCTTTCATTCCTTTGATTCCGATCATTTTAAGCCGGAATGCGATGTGGCGACAGCCTTCCCACATCCCACAGCTTCCCAAGGCGGCTGCATCCGTCTCCGTCAAGTAAAGCTCGAAGCTGGTGCAGGTTTGCGCCACTGCTGCGAGGTTCGTGGCCCCGTTGCTCTGATGAGCACCAGCAGCGAGAACATCCAAGGTTTCCTGCAATTTCTGCTTCATGGCATTCGGCACCCCAGCTTCCTCCAAAGCTTCGTAGCAGGCCACCATCTCGGACGGGCCTACTTGGCCAATGTTGTTCAGCTTGGATTGCATCTGAGCAAAGAGTGTATCCTGCATCTGCTGTGTGGGCCGAGCTTGGAGGAGCTTCTCGCAGGCCTCCAGCTCAACCACAAAGTCTTTGGCTGTCCAAGACATGGCCTCTGCGGTCGGCACACCCCTCGGAGTCTAACTTCTGGGCCACGACTGCCAAGCATGGCACAGCAACTGTGTTCCGAAAGAAAAAGAGGTGCAAGGACTCACTGGGTAGCCTCTAGAGGCTAAGAAGAGAAGTATATAGGGAAGTTTCCTAGCCTGCAAAGGCTGGGGTGTTTAAAGCCTGTATAGGCCAAGAAGAGCATGAAGCAATGAGCCTCTCAAGGCTGTGCAACTATAGCCTTCAGAAGCTCATTGCATTAAATGCTGCACAACTATAGAAAGCTTGCAGAAGTTGTCTGCAAGCTTTCTATATACGGGCGAGCAATTTTTTTTCATAGAGACGGGCATCGCTGGATCCTACCTAGTCCATGTCGTCCAGCCAAGATCTTCCACCGCCGTCCCGGTCCTCGGCCTCGTCCATGCTGCCGTTGTCCGGCTGCTCCAATTGCCCGTGCTGCTGCTGTTGGCCTTCGTCCTGCTGCCGGTTCTGCTGCTCCTGGATTCGCCTGCACTCAAGCTGACGTACAGGGCATTGAGGCGAATGACCATAGCCTCCCCGGCAGGCACTGCAGCAGTACAAGTGAGTGCCCGTCACCAACAAATCGCAGTCCAGACGGCGGCAGATTCGTACAGCCGTGGGATCCACCTGGCCTCTGTCACATCTTGTGCTGTGCTCGGATCCTCTGCTCCTTCTACAGCCACCGCAGCAAAAGCGATGCGGCGGCTCGCACGTTCTGCCGCAGCCACTCGTAGCACACATCCGCCTCGGGGTCCGTGCACCAGTCTGCATGGCTGCAACCGAGATGAAATCTCTATCACGTCCTTCTATGCAGGCACCTCTCCGGCATGTTTTGTTGTGTCTGCTGGTACTGAAGACCCGAAGTCTTCAAAATCACACACGGCATTTGAATTCATATTTTGAATTCCCGGAACAGGGCCTCGGTATTTGAATTCATATTTTGAATTCGCCAACAATCCTGTGTATTTGAATTCAGATTTTGAATTTCCGGAACAGTCCCTGGGTATCTGAATTCAGATTCTGAATTCCCGGACAGATGCTGCTTTAGAGGACATAGGCTGGTCCCCATGCGAAGATTAGCTTTGCCCCGTCTGAAAATGGCTGCGGCGGCCGTGCACCATTCTCTTGAAAAGTCCTTCAATCAGTGACAAGCAGCCGCTATTGGCTCTCCAAGTGCACCCGACAGGGTTTCGGATTGGGGGTGAAGGTCACGGTTGAGGGATCCAAGGCTTGAGAGCTAGTGAGATTTTTGCAAAAGTACAGGGTCTTGGGTTGGGGTTCAGGCTACACATTCGGCCCATTTTGTTCCTCCTTTACTTAAAGGAAGCTAGATTTCTACTAGAAACCTAGTATTTCTTAATTAAAGGAGGACCAAAAACGGCCAAATGCCTGGGAAGCCTCAGCCTGCAAAGGCTCTATTTCGCAGCCTCTACAGGCTCCCCTGCAGCCAACACAGGCTCCTCATATGTATCTCTGCGGAAGCCTCCAAAGGCTGGTGTCCATGCAGCCTCCACAGGCTCCCTACATATGTATCTCTGCGGAAGCCTCCAAAGGCTGGTGTCCATGCAGCATCCACAGGCTCCCTATGTAGAGGATCCCAAGCCTGCACAGGCTTCCTATGTAGCTGCTACAAAAAAGTTTCCATGCAGCCTGCAAGGGCTCCCTCCACTCAAACTCGGTCTCTTTTTCACTCGCCACTGCTTCAGCATGGTCCATCAAGACAGGTAGTAGCGATAGGCATCGTCTCCCCGCTCTCTCAGCATCCTCTTCAAGTCCCGCATGGGAGCCTGCAGCCCAGGGTGCTCGCTGATGCGGCGGAGGTCCCGCTTCAGAGAGTCCACCTGCCCAGTCTGGAACCTGTGGCAGATCACGGCCATCTTCGTCGCCCATCCAGACCGGTTCTGGTTGCCCTCGACCTGGGCTGGTCGCTGCATATATGTGGATCCCTCAACCCTGCAACCCTCCAAGAAATTAGCCCATCTGCCCATGCGAACGAGAATCTGGCTGCTTCCATCGTTGCCAGCCATATCGCCACCATATGTGCGGGTTGTCGTCGTCCTGGACCCAACCAGCTGCCGTCCATTTGTCCTCCCAGGACTCCTGGTAGTCTGCAGGTTGCTCAGGAACAGAAGACCATCCTTCGTAGGGCGGCTGATCAGGCCGTCCATGCTGTCCCGAGCCCGAGGCCTCGTCATTCACCAAACCAGGAGATGCAGAACCTGAAGGAAGCTGACTTCCGCCGACAGCTGTGCCAGGTAGAGAACCTGAAGGAAGCTGACTTCCGCCGACAGCTGTGCCAGGTAGAAGTACCTGCTGTGGGGGCGGCGGCTGCTGCAGCTGAGGCTCCACACGAAGCTTCTGAGCTTGGTCCTGATGCATGTGGTGCATGTGTTGCTGCTGCTGCTGCTGCCACTGCGTCTGCTCCACAGGAAGCCTCTGAGGTTGCTCCTGCTGCCAGTGCATCTGCTCTACACGAAGCCTCTGAGCTTGCTCCTGTGGCATTTGCTGCTGCTGCCACTGCATCTGCTCCGCAGGGAGCCTGTCGGCTTGCTCCTGCTGCACTGGCTGCTGCTGCCACTGCTGATGCAGAGGTCCCGTGGGCAGCATCTTGCCCCTGCCTGCTGCTGTCCCTGGCGCTTGCAGTGTTGCAGCTGCAGCAGCTGCACTAGCAGGCTCCCCAGTCGGTGGAGCCACGGCATTGGCAACCGCATGCACCAGGCTTTGTCTCACCTGCCGAATCAGGCATGGGGAGGATGCTGTACAAAGCCTAGGAAGCAACAGCCTGTAAGGGCTCCGAAAGAAGCCGACCACGGCCTGCTCGGAGGAGTACTTCATTCGCTTCCATGGCGCCTGCATGCATCCATCATACTCTATGCGAAAAGCAAACCAGCAAATTTATTGCCAGCTTCGAAAGTCATGCTTGTAGTGTCGCAGCATGACGAAACCACCCGGGCCTCGTTGGGGTCTTCATCCACCGCCCAGTCCCGCCAGTCCCGTCCCGCCATGCTTGAGAGGGTGCACCTGCAAGAATATGGGTGTCTTTCCAACCACACATGCATGCATTGCTGTAGCCTGCAAAGGCTCAGTTAAGCTTCTGTACTGTAGCCTTCACAGGCTCCTGCTACTACTCCTGCAGCCTCCACAGGCTCTTTGCTCTTCTCACCCCACATGCATGCATTGCTGTAGCCTGCAAAGGCTCATTTAAACTCCTATACTGTAGCCTTCACAGGCTCCTGCTACTACTCCTGCAGCCTTCACAGGCTCTTGCACGATGCACACACAGCCTTCACAGGCTCCTTGAAACTTCTATAAACACAGCAAGAGCCTTCAAAGGCTGAACTCCGAAGCCTGCACGGGCTGGAAGCTGCCTCTGCACACTCCTTTTCGCACGGCCCGCCAGATTTCATGCAGCCAAGGTCTTCTCAGCCGGAATCGCTCTGCTTGTCGTCCTCATCGGCTTTCCTTTTGCCCGCAAACCTGCCAGATCGGACGTAAGGTCGCTTTGGCTTCTCGTACACCGAGTCCACATCGACCATGAGGAAATCGAAGACATGCTCAAGGTCGGACTCTTCGAGCTTGACCAAGATGTCTGTTTCTCGCCAATTCCTGGGCTTCAAGACCTCCACCTGCTTGCCACCGAGATCTATCTTCATAACATCTGGTGCTCTCTCCAAAGCTTCGCGAAGCTTTCGGGCGGTGACTTCATTGGCCGAATCCTCCTCTTCATTGACAACAGGAGCATCGAACAAATTGTCCCTCTCACTGCCATCCGGATTCTGCTCCTTGCTTCCCATCTCCAGGATCTTGGCCTTCACCGTTTCCCGGATCTGCGACACTTGTGGGCTGCAGCTCAAGCTTGGGTTTTTCAGGGATTTGAACTTCTCCATGTGCCCCAGCACGGCTCTCGTCAGACTCGTGCTGCTCGGCCTGAACCGAAGATATTGCTGGCCATTGTCCGCCACATGCACCAGGCCCTCGGAAACAGGGACCTTGGGGCCGCCCTTGTACTGCAGAATGACTTGCCGAGTGACCTGCATGCTGCCGAGCCAAACCTTGCAGGCAGAAGAAGCTGCAGAGGCACGAATACAGAAGCCTGTCAGGGCTGAGGCAGGAAGTGTGAGAAGGATGACTTTGGAAGCTTGCACATGAGCTGCTGCAGCGGGTTTGACTTTGGAAGCCTCTGTATACATGACCCGAAGCGAAAAAATTTCTCTGGTGTGCTGGGAATGGTCTGTAAATCTTCGTGGGCGCCAAAGGCGAAGCGAATCTCCTGCACATCCACTGTGCTGGAGATCTGCCGACGGAAAACACGTGTAAAGTAAATCATCTAATGGCGCTTTCTCTTGCCACTGCCAGAAGCCTCCGTCTTCGGCTCCAGGAGCAGCTGGTCGCCCATCTTCAATGCAACCTTGTTCTGGTAAACAGGCACCACCATGTCGCCGATCTTCTTCGTGGTTCTGGTGAGGGTAGCCGTTTGGCTCTCCGTTGCTTCCTTGATCATCCAGTACGGGCAAAAGTAACCGGATGATTTCTGGATGTCCCAGCGAACGGGCGAAACAACGTAGCAGTCATGCTTCATTCCTTTTTTCTGGATGACAACATCCTGGGGGCCAGGCTTCTGCACCTTTTGCAGCTGCCCCAAAGGATAGAGTTGCAGGTCAAACTTGGCATAGGAGCAGTTGCAGAACAGCAAGCCGTTGTTGCTTGGCCGGACGTCTGGATCGCCCAACCTTTCTCATGAGTGAAAGACAAACTACAAAAACAAGGTTACCAGAACCAGGTTCGAAAACATAGGCTTGAAAGAAAAAAGGTCGAAAAAAAACGTGTTATGCCAGAAACTTAAGGCGAAACCTTTCCAGTATCTGTCTGCTGTCAGGAAACTCCAAGTATTTCTTGTAGAGAAGCCCTTGGTCTTCTGCTCGTGCCAGCTCGTCCTGGAAGATCTCGGAATCACCGGGCCAGAGCTTCTGAAGAGCTTCCTCCTCGACCAAAGCAGGCACAGCTTTAGTCCATTCCTTGAGTTGCTTGAGGTCCTGCAAAGCCACCTTCTCGACCTGCACCTGCTCGCCAAAGAAAGGCCGATGCTCCAAGGTAGCACCATCCTGCTGCAAGTCCTTCAAAACAAAGACTTTGTCTTTGTCAGCCTCCACGGGCTCCGTCCTTTTGATCAAGTAAGCCTGGCCAACCTTCACATGCTTGTTCTGCTGCTTTGCGATCAAAGTCTGATCATTCGAGGCCTCTAGGTCTCGGACCTGCTCCCCTGAAGAAGCTGCAGCCTGGGAAGCCTGCCCGGGCTGAACCTGCAAGGTCTCCTGGCTGAACATGCTCGACAACGTGGCCAGGGAGTCGTACTCCTTGCCCTCCCTGCCCTTCGTCTGCTTGCCGAGCATGTAGAGGATGATGCGTATTTGATAGCGGCAGAAAGCCATCTGAAGATGTGCCTTGTCGGAAGCTTCGGCTTCGACCACTGCCCATGCTTGTTGCATCAGCGCTTCTGCTTTCACCAAATCCGCTTCGCTTTTCTTGGACTTCAAACGATCGAAGTCCGCCTTCGTCAGAAGGCGGCTGAACCCGTCGATGACTGCATTGGCCGGTGCAGTGATCTGGGTCAAGGCCAAAGCAATGCGAGTCATCGGACATCTCGTGGTAGCGATTTTGAAGTCGGTGTATGCGAGGCATTTCGTGAAGTCGGCGCCCAGCATCGTGGTCCCGGCATAAGACCGGGCCATGGCATCCATATATTTCAGAACTTTGAAGGATTCACCCCCTGCGAACTGCTGAACGAAATCCGCAATGGCCGAAATATACGGTTTGCACGGAGGGTTCGAGCTGCCTGCTGCTGCTACCGCTTTCCCGAGGTCCTTGGCTCCGTCCGGTTGGGCAGCATACAGCTGCGAGATGCACATCGCGACCTCCAGTTCGCTAGGCGGTTTGCCGATCGCGAGGTCCGAGTTCAAGCCCTGCTGCAGTAGCCCCGGCAAGGCTGGCACCCTTTCCTCGACCTCCGCCGCCAGGACTCGCCAGCTCCACCCTTCTTTGAGAAGCTTCGCAAAGTCGTCCCCACTCTGCATGCACTCGTCCAGTGACAAACCACATTTGGGACCGCATCCGCTGGCCATCGCTTTGACGAAGGCAGTGGTGTGCGAACAGCTAAGAGTTGCCCACCTCTCCTTACCAGTTGGCTTCGCCAAGCGGCCTTCGGACATTTCGGCAAGGCGGGTGTTGATCTCGAGAAAGTGCTTGCGAAGTCCTTCGTCCCTCGGAAGTTCGATGGCTACAGCTTCTCGCAACTTCATGCGATCCCAGCCAACGGAAGAGATTTGAACGCCCTTGGACACGACATCGTGTGGATTTACGAGGGCACCTCCACGATTTTTCGGATGAACGATCAAGTCCATGGGGGTCGCAAAAGAGTCGTAGAGCAGGTGTCGCTCACGAAGCAGCAGCATGATCTTCTGGCATTTTTGATTTATGCTCACATCAGGCTGGTCGATCAGCTCCTGCACAGTGCTCGCCCAGTCCGGAACGGTCATGATCCAAAAAATGCGAAGCTCTTATATGTCAAAGTTTCCCCAACATGCATCATGCACTGCCTTCCACCATACAAGTGCCTATGTTGCCTACATGTTTTGCATATGGAGCTTCTCGCCAGAGCCAAATGCTCGGCCTGGATCGACAAAATTCAACCTTCAGGCAAGAAACAAGAAACGTGCCACTGCAGCCTCCACGGCTTCCGACCTTCCCTTTTCTTTCACAGCCTGCACAGGCTTCCACACAACGGAATCAGCCAGCACAGCTCAGCATGCAATGTGCTTCCCAAGGACTTCTGCAACAAGCTTGCAAAAGCTTTCTGCTCGCTGTGAGAACACCTGGACTAAACAAGGAAACTGTTTACAGCAACACATATATTTCTCTGCTTTGGTTACATTCCTCAATGATTTTCTTCGCTTCAAAAATCAAGATGCACCTGCTGTGTTTACCGAAAACAGTCAACTGATCCCATGCTGCCAGCATGTGCAAACTTCGATTCTTTGTTTTCACAAGTATAAAACCAAGGTTTTACAACTAGTTAATTAAAAAATTAGAGTAGTTAGCTAACGATGTTAATCAACCTAACTTATTAGGTAACCCCCAGAGCGCCAAAGTAGTCAATTCAAGAACACCCGCCAACGCGGGTACCCGCACAAGGCCCGCGCGGGTACCCGCACAAGGCCCGCGCGGGTACCCGCACAAGGCCCGCGCGGGTACCCGCAAAGGGCCGGTATGTCTGTGGGTAATACTGAACTACCTAAGTCTTAAGCCTTAAGCCTTAAGCTTTCTGCAAAAACCTCAATGGAATTTACTTAGACTTAGTCAATTCAAGAACACGCCAAGAAGCCACGCGGGTACCCGCACAAGGCCCGCGCGGGTACCCGCACAAGGCCCGCGCGGGTACCCGCACAAGGTCCGCGCGGGTACCCGCAAAGGGCCGGTATGGCTGTGGGTAATACTGAACTACCTAAGTCTTAAGCCTTAAGCCTTAAGCCTTAGCTTTCTGCAAAAACCTCAATGGAATTTACTTCGACTTAATCAATTCAAGAACACGCCAAGAAGCCACGCGGGTACCCGCACAAGGCCCGTGCGGGTACCCGCACAAGGCCCGCGCGGGTACCCGCACAAGGCCCGCACGGGTACCCGCAAAAGGCCCGCGCGGGTACCCGCACAAGGCCCGTGCGGGTACCCGCACAAGGCCCGCGCGGGTACCCGCACAAGGCCCGCGCGGGTACCCGCGAAGGGCCGGTATGTCTGTGGGTAATACTGAACTACCTAAGTCTTAAGCCTTAAGCCTTAAGCCTTAAGCTTTCTGCAAAAACCTCAATGGAATTTACTTAGACTTAGTCAATTCAAGAACACGCCAAGAAGCCACGCGGGTACCCCACAAGGCCCGCGCGGGTACCCGCACAAGGCCCGCGCGGGTACCTGCACAAGGCCCGCGTGGGTACCCGCACAAGGCCTGCGCGGGTACCCGCACAGGCCGCGCGGGTACCCGCACAAGGCTCCCGCGGGTACCCGCACAGGGCCCGCACGGGTACCTGCACAGGCCGCGCGGGTACCCGCACAAGGCCTCCGCGGGTACCCGCACAAGGCCCCCGTGGGTACTCGCACAGGGCATGCGGGTAACCGCACAAGGCCCCTGCGGGTACCCCGCACAGGAGCGCTGCCCGGCATGCCTTTCTGAATACCTGCAAGTTCATGGTGCTTCCTAAAAATTCAAGGCCTGAGCCTTATGCAAAGACCGGAGCTATGGAGCTTGCCTCACTACGGAGAAATACACCACCCAGGTCTGCCGCTACCTGCAACCTCCCTGTGTGTATGTGCAAGGTCGTGTTCGTTCACACTGAACCCCTGAGCCTCCTGCCAAGGCCCTTCTGGTGCTTACATCAGTATGCAGTGTGCAGGAATGCAGCAGCCACGCCCGTGGCTGCACGCAACATCTCAAAAACTGCAAGGTGGCTACCTGCACAAAGGCTACGTGCTACCTGCAGCTTATAAACTAAGTCGGCCAAGGAGACGAGTCCTTTGCAACATGCTGTGGAGTTTCTGTCAAACAATTTAGCAGGCACCCGGTGCTTGCACGAACATCTCTAGCTAAGCCTGCTGCCTGCAGCGAACTGCATGTCGGATCCAGCATGCCGTGCACACTGCCCTGTGCCCTATGTCTTGTGCCTCCAGCACACAAACACAAGACCTCAGAACCGTTGCAATCCCCGAATCTGCCGAACTACGACCCGTGAATATAACAATCTGAAGGCTTCCGGATACGTCAACAAAGGAGACTTTCTGATCACGATTTCCTGCCATGCCCATCCATGGGTTACACTAGCTAGCTAGCACAATACCTGGATGACAGAGCTCGTCCTTACAATTCCAATTTTCTCATGGAGTCAGAAAGTACAAGACTTGTAACTGTAAGCAATTACTCTGAGCGGTTGCAAGCACAGAATGTGCCTTCTCAGGCACAAAGATCTGCTCGCGCCAAACCGACAGCAGGCTTCAGACCTGCACCAGAGCAAGCACAGCTTTGCTGATGTCCAGAAGTACTCTTCGTTCGCCTAATCTGCAATGTCAGGAGCAGCTGCATCTGAAGTCTACCTGACCCTGTCTTCATGTATTCTAACTTTGCATGGCATATGGGCTGTCCTCAAGACAATCATAGCTCTCCTTTTCTCTCTGCATGCAGCCAAGACATCCTAGTCATGTCTACAATGCCTCTTAGGGCGCCTCATTTGCAATGTGACTGGCAGCTGCATGTCGTATCTTGCTCACCCTGTTTTCTTCTATTCCTAATTAGCATGGCACATGGGCACTCCTGAATACAATCGTAGTCGTGGCTCTTGCTTTCTGTCTCCTTGCGCCCAAGACATAGTCGGGCCCTTGTGGCCTGCCTACACAGTCGGGCCTGGCTACACAGAGAGGAACCACTCCTGCAGCTTCTCTTCGGCTGGTTTCCTAAGACGAAGTCTCTGCCAGTGGTTTCCTGTCCAGCAGATGGCCACATAATTTGGTGGGCCTTTGAACGGAGCACCACACCAAGCTTGGCATCGGACCCCCTCTCGAACCTGCCTGGCCAACAGACAACCTACCAATGGGCTTGTTGCATGACACAAGATCGTAGCCTCCAGAAAGCCACCCCAGTGCTGCCGTGGATCCTCTGGATTTTCTGCGGCCAGTGTCATCCCATCGATGTAGGATTCCAGGTCGGGCCACCCAGAGTGCTGCAGCCAGTCTGATATGCCAAGGCCCTCAAACTGTGTCCTGCTGCTGGCCAATCGACGAACAGATTGCACCAGTTGCGACCGCCACCTCGGGCCCATGTTCGAACCACTCTGGCCACTGGGCAGCCGCATGCCCGGGATGAGCTTTTCCTTGCACTCCAGCTCTCTGCCCAAAGCAGTGAACAAGCAATCCCCATCACCGGGAACGTCGCTCAGCTCATAGCTTCCTTTCACCAGGATGCCTGCAGGTAAGTTGGCAACACCCCGTGGCAGACGCAGCTCATCCATTCGGCCCTGGTTTTTGCTCTTGCTCTGGCTGCTGCTGCTGTCACTGCTGCTGCTACTGCTGGAGCTGCTCGAGGAGCTGGACCGCTTCTTTTTGCTGCAAGCCTTTTTCCCTGCACTCGTCCCCTTTGCTGCCTTGGTCTTTCTTCCAGGTAGTGGCATGGCCTGGTGCTTCACTCGACTCTCGAAATTCGGTCCGGCCAGGGCCCATTCGGACAGATGCTTCAGAGTCTCTGCAGCTTGGCCACTTCCTGGAATGGACATAGTGCGGCGACATGCCAGCGCATATTCGGTCCCTGCCTTGTTGACCTTCTTGTCGGGCCTGTGGCAGTAGCATCGGACCTGAAAACCCCCACAGGGATTTTGCTTGCTTGGCTGTCGGAAGGTAAAGAGGACCTTGACATCATCCGCAAGCTGTATTGTTTTGCCTTTTGCAGCTCTCTGGATGATGTCTTCGACCTCTTCCTGTGGAAGCATTCCATGGACGTCCAAAGCAGCAGATTTGAAAGCCTGGCTGACTCGGGCCTTTGTCTGGAGTGCCTCTGTCTGGACAGCATCATCATCACTCTCGGACCCTGCCTGGTCTGGACCATTCGGCCCCTTCGAAGTGCAGACGGAATCGAGAGTAAACGGACCTGTGTCCATGGGTTGCACATCCAGGAAAAATGGCCTGTCGTTGTCAGCCTCCTCCTTTTCGGGCCCAAGTCCGCAACCTTTAATATACAAGAACTCCCCCGTCCAATTGCTGCTAGGCACCAAGGAAGCAGCCAGCTCTGGAAGGCTGAAAAGCCATGTTTGCCGACCACATCCCGGTTTCCACTTCGGGGCCAAGATGAGACCTTGCCTCGTGGTCGGCTGGAGGTACCTCGTGGGTTAGATAGACTGACATTGAACAGAACAAGAGCTCCAGGGTCCCGCATAGCATTGTGGAAGACAGCATATTACGAATTACCACTAGTACATATTACTATATTACTGCTTACTGATTGATGACTGAGTTACTGCTTATGCCGCTTCTCAAACCAGGCTACGTGTCCTCCTCCAGAGACAGGAAGGTGGCTCGCACAGGCCGATCATATGTCAGGTAGCAAACCTGATACCAAAGGCATCGGACCATGGACCCGGCAATCTCGGGCCTCTGCAACCGGACAACTACGTGGTTCTCATCGAGCAGCAATCGCTGCTTGCTTTTGACCTTGGACGGCTCCTTCAAGCCTTGACCAGCAAAGGTCATCAGCATGTTGGCTAATGCCTTTTCCAGGTTGCGGGCTGCAGGGGAGAGCACAAGCCCAGCTTGTCTGATGGCACGGGCTGCTCGAGCATTATCAGACTCTTTCGCTAGTTTGACCCCAGGCATAGGCCGCAAAACCACGTGCCGCCGCTCCCACTCCGCCAGCCGCGACTCCCTTGACCGTCCAAGAACTCCGGTGATGCTCGGAGCACAAGCAACATCTTGAGCAGCTTTGCTCATCCATGTGTGTTGCACAAAGTCAGAAGTGAAGCCTGTGTCAGGGACAGGATCAGAGCAGGCAGGTGGTCGTTGGATGCGCCAGCTGAAGATGTGGTCCTTCAAAGGATCTAGAGGCCAAAGTTCACCCTTGCAGTCCACATGCGACAGAAAGTCCTCTCGGGCCTGCTTGTCCCCTGCTTGGGCCTGATTGTGCTGTCTGTCCATTTCCGAGCTGATTTGCTGCCACCTCATCCACAGTGGATCGGACCGATCTCTTTGGAGCTGTCGGCGTGCTTCCTTGGGATCAAAGCGACTTTGCAGCCGCCTGGCCGCCTTGCGCTTCAGCCTCAAAGGCCAAGCCAAGGGATCTGCCCTGCGAACCTTCGAGCGTTTTCCTCCAGCGACACGACGCCTTTGGGTCATGGCATGGGCCAGGTTCCCATACTTCTGCATCTCAGACTCGGAGAGCTGCCGGTACTTTTGCACATCCTCCCTGTTTGCCAGTCGGCCCCGGACATTGCTGGCCACATAAGCCTGATATGCAGAGATGCTTCTTTGTTTCTTGGCAGTAGTCTTTTCCGGGTTTTGTCCTGGGCCCTTGCGTTTCTTTCCGTTCCCGGAAGAGTCCTCAGTCGGACCCTTGTTGCCTGCCATGGACAGATCGGACCAGAGGTCTGCATGGAGAGCCGGCATCCCCTGCAACATCCTCATCATGCGCTGGGCACTCTGGTCCTGCAACTTCAGAGCTCTGCCGAGATCGCTCCGGCGCCTCGCCCATTTCTTGCCTGCAGCATGCCCTGCTTCTATCTCATTCGTGCTCTCACGTGTCAGCTTCGCCACAGTGAGCACTTCAGCCTGGCAACCTGCTCCAAGCAGATCCTCTTCCTCGGAAGATGCTGGGCAGTTGAGCAGGCCCCACCTTCCCCATGCCTCTGACCAAAAACTTACACATTCAACAGACACCTCACGGGTGCAAGCATCCTGAATTCCCATATAGTGTTTCTTGACAATGCACACTTGCGAGAATCCCACTTTGCAAGCATGAAATCACATACAGGGGAAGGCTAAACCTGGGCCCAGGGGAAAGTTCACAGACATGACCTCACTTTCATTGCCGAAAAGCTCGTGGATATGCTGCAAGCATGAGCCTGCCGAAGGAGTCGAACAAATCCTTGCTGATGCTGGCATCTTCAGCAATCTCGCCTGCAGCTGCTTTGCTTGCCAGGATCTCAAAGAATGCATATGGGTATACCCTCTGCTCGATGATGCCCAGGGAATAAAGGGAGCCTTGAAGCCGGGTGGTCATCCGGTAGAGCAGCAGTTCCAGGGGCATGCTCTTGCTTTCTGGGAATAACTCGGACAAAACTTCTGGACCCTGGCAGAAGTCCTCACTGCTAGACTGCAACAAACGATGCAAGTCCAAAGCTCGGAAGGCTGTCTGAGCTGGATAAACTGCATGCTCGGGCGTACTCTTGTCGTGCGGTCTAGGCAACTCCCTGCACATCTGCTGGTGCTCATAATCATTGCCACAGCGATCCACTGCGGCTCTTTTCAGTTCATCCGTTCGGGTCAGGGTTAGAACTGCCACATAGAGGTTCTGCAGGGAATCGGACCGATGCAGGTACTCCTGCACGTCACTTTCGAAGGGCACGTGCAACAACAAACCGTGACAGCAAAAGAGCTGGAGCATGTGTGCGCTCGAAGCATGCTGCCCTTGCCAGGATCTTCGTGGAAAGTTGATGGGAGGAGGACTGAACAAGGCCTCCAGTCCATAGGCCTGTCGAAGCTTGAAGCGGAGGCTCTCGGTTCCATTTGGGCAGCAATCGGGCCCAATGCAATAGTGTTGCAGCTCAGACCCAAGTCGGACATCTCCATTCAAAACATAGTCCCAAAGGAACTTTCTTCGGGCCTCGGCCTTGGTCTTGGGAGCATGAGGCCACAAGACACTGGCCATTTGGGCCCGCCAGCGCTTCACTTCAGCAGGTGGCTCTCCTGCATACACTCGGCACTTCTGGAGAGCAAACTTCATAACTCGGTCCCTTGCTAGTCTCGTGAACCCGGCTTTTTGCCGAAATGCCAATGTGGCATTGATCAAAAAGCTTTCTGTCGCTGGATCCACGGAAAGTGCATTCTGCTCAGATGTGCGATATCTGTGTAGGCAACACCGCAACAATGTCGATGGAACTCCAGTGTCGACCTCCAAGGAACGCTCTGCTGCTAAGGCAGATCGGTGCAAATCCGTGTGTCGCAGCACCTCAGATGCCCACAGTCTGTTCCAGGCAGGAGAGGCTGGAACAATCTATGTCTGTAATATTTGAATGGGTTCATGCTGCCCCTGGTTGAAGCCCGGTTATAATGTCTGATGTTCTAACGGTCTGCTCATAAACAGGTGAGGATCAATCTGCATTTTGAAGACCTCGAGCATTCGGGCCTCCTCTGCACTCCAAGACATCGTGTCCATGATGGTTTTCCGCACAATGGGGCCCTGCTGATTTTCCATTGCCACCAATGGACTGGTCAGGGTGCCATGCACCAGGTGATACCGCGGAAGGTCCTCTCGGAACCCTGGCTTCAAGTACAGACACATGCCCCATCGCAGTTTGCTGGCCATAATCTTTCCGGTCTCGGGAATATATACAATCTCGCCAGTGTCCTCCTGCAGGTACCCTTGCGAGCAGTATGTGGGAGTCTCGTCGTAGAGTCGTTCCCAAACGAAAAGTCGAGCCTCTATGTTTTCTTCCTTCTGAATCTTTCCGAGCAGCTCCTTGAAGCTTTGTCGCTCTGCAGATTCTGCAAGAGAAGAACGCAAGATTGCATCTTTAGCATCCCAAGCTTTCGAAAGTCCTGCCTTTTTTAACGGTCTTGGTCTCGGGCCTGCCTGTGGAGCTTGTGCTGCAGCATTCACTCGTGCCTGAGGCTCTGAAGCTTGCTCTCTGTCCGGGCATTGGGCTGCCGGATGCCGGACAGTGTCTTGCTCATCTTCGGAGCTGGATGCAGGAAACATGACCAGAAAGCACTGTCCCCGCTCTATCCTGGCTTCTGTCGTTACTGTTTGAAAGAACTAACAGTAACATGCTACCTCCTCTGTCACTGCTTTTCCTGTTAAAGACATACTTTTGAGGTGGGTTGTGCTGGCTTCGTGTCTCGATTCTACGAAGATCGATCTGGATACTGCAGCGGCCGGTTGGTGAGTGTAACATGTCTTAACTTGACTGGACTAAATCCTGGTTTACAGCAGTGCAGAACAATCACCAGAAGAGCGCCCACAACAGGCCTCCCAGGTTTGTCTTTGCAAAGACGCCTTCGACGAGAGACCTTAGAAAGCATGTGAGCACATATCTTGAAGACTCTCTCTCCAGGCTATCAAGCAGTTCATACAGGGGTCGAAATAGTCTGCTTTCCTTGGTAGGGGTTCCAATTGCTGAACAAACTTTGCCCCCAGAACTGAGAAACTCCGT